CACACACACACACACACACACACACACACACACACACACATACATACAGACACCGTGACAACCTCGCGGGGATAGTCAGGGAAGCTTCCTGTGACCTTCAAACGTCGAGATCTGATGAAAACTCGATTTTTGCAAAACGGGGTAAAACCAATTTTTGAAAATCTGAGATTTTTAGCGGGAAGTTAATAAAATCATTCAATAAAAGATAAATTAAACTTGTATTATAATTAAAACACTTTTTTTGTGTTAGAAAAAATTTTTAATGTTAATTTAACTCTACGATTATAAATAAAAGCATATTATTATAATATATTAAGTATAATAAATATAAATATTTAAATATTTCATTGACAACGTCAACAGCGAAATAACCTCGATAATAGGTGTCAAATTCGGGTGTCAATAACTGCGGCGTTCTTAAAAAAATCCACCTAGTTATTGACACCCACATTTTAATACATAAATGTCATTTAAAGTGATATATTATAATTAAAAACTAAATACTGTATAATAATTAACTAATTTATATAGTTTTTATTATATTTTTATACTTTTATGATAAATAGTTGATTGATTGGATAGACGAACGCTCTTACGTATACTGCTTAGAATATAGCTTAAAAATGGCGTCCACAGTCACTCAAGACTTGAAGAATTTTTTTTATTAAGTTATTTTTTTTTCACGGTTGGAAATATAATTAATTACGTACATAATTAATTTATTTTAATTTTAAAAAAATTTATAAAACTATTTAATGAAATGTTTTTTTTTTTTTAATTCAAAATAACGTTAGAAGTGTCAGTAACTGGGTCAGAGTCATTAACTGGGTCTTTTACCTTATAATGTTTAAAAAATTAAATAAAATTTGTTCAAACTAAAATTGTGTGCGCAGGCTCGAGAATTCTGTCAGCAAGAGTACGGAGCCGCCATCTTAGTGCCGACTTGCGAACTGCCATTTTGTCGAGGAAGTAGAGAGTGAAGTTACCAGCGGCTGTAACTTAGAAAATAAAAATATATTATTTATTTGAAAGGTTATAATTGGATCGATACTAACCAAACATGGCGGCGCTAGTGAGCTGTAGTATTAACCCCGAGTAAAAATAAACAAAAATAAATATAATTAATAAAAAGTGAACTGCAAAATTTCAAAAAAAAAAAAATGGCAGACGACCGGGAAGTGCTAAAAGAAATTTGGAAGGGTAAAATTCCAGTGTGTTTCCAGTTGGACCGTGAAGAAGTTTGCGAGCTTCAAGCTCCTGACCCATTTTACCTCATGGTGCCTAGATTGAGTTATTTTCCCCTTTGCACTGACAAGGTAAGCAATTTATTTTATTTTAGGGGTTAGAATTTTTTAATTTGTCTAATTGGGATTATTTTGGGTTTTAGGTTAGGAAGCACTTTATAAAACACATCCAGGAGGACCACCAAGAAAATGAAATGTGGCTGGAGTTCAACGGCACTCCACTTAAATGGCACTTTCCAATTGGCGTGTTATTGGATATTTATTCGAACGATGTAGAGCTGCCGTGGAATATTGTCGTGCATTTTGATAAGTTTCCTGAAAATGATATTATGCATTGTCCTAATAAGTGAGTTTAATTTAATTTATTTTTTTATTTTAGAATTTAGATTGATAGATTTTGTGAGTTAAGAGGGGGAAAAGAAGGAGGAGCTACGGGAGAAAGCCGCTAGATGGCGGGAGTAGGAAAAATTAGCGGGAGATTTGAATTTTAAGTTTTGGCGGGAATTTTTTAAATTCAAAATTATGCAGAACATTTATTTTTACGAGTTTTTAAGAATATATGAGGCATTTTGATTGAATGGGGAATTTTTAGAGGAAATTTGATATTGTAAAAAAATTAAATTAAGCATAGAATTTTATTTACCATTTTTGGTATATTTTTCATATATACATATAAGGTAAGACCCAGTTATTGAAACTGACCCAGTTATTGACACTTCTAACGTTATTTTGAATTAAAAAAAAAAAACATTTCATTAAATAATTTTATAAATTTTTTTTAAATCAAAATTAATTAATTATGTACGTAATTAATTATATTTCTAACCATGAAAAAAAAAATAACTTAATAAAAAAAATTCTTCAAGTCTTGAGTGACTGTGGACGCCATTCTTAAGCTATATTCTAAGCAGTATACGTAAGAGCGTTCGTCTATCGAATCAATCAACTATTTATCATAAAAGTATAAAAATATAATAAAAACTATATAAATTAGTTAATAATTATACATTATTTAGTTTTTAATTATAATATATCACTTTAAATGACATTTATGTATTAAAATGTGGGTGTCAATAACTAGGTGGATTTTTTTAAGAACGCCGCAGTTATTGACACCCGAATTTGACACCTATTATCGAGGTTATTTCGTTGTTGACGTTGTCAATGAAATATTCAAATATTTATATTTATTATACTTAATATATTATAATAATATGCTTTTATTTATAATCGTAGAGTTAAATTACCATTAAAAATTTTTTTTAACATAAAAAAAGTGTTTTAATTATAATACAAGTTTTATTTATCTTTTATTGAATGATTTTATTTTATTTTAATTAAATAATGTAAACCTAACCAATAATGAATAATTTTTATAAATGAGTGTCAGAATCTAGGCCGACGTCATTGTCAGAAACTACAACACAAGAAATTTAGAGTGTCAGAAACTAGGTCCTACAGTTACTGGTACTGTTTAAAACATTAATTTAAATTATAAAATGGTCCGATATAATTCTTTCGCGTTGATAATCTTTTCAAGAAATTCTAAATTTTTTTATCATGCAAAAATTATTTACTCCAATTAATTATTGTGTTATAACCTCTGCCGTCACTCTTGAGGTGTCAGACACTGGGCCCTTTACCTTATGTAATATATACAAATATATGAAATATATGAAAAATTGATGTGGGTATTCAAATGAAAGGTCTCGATGAGTGTAACATCAGGATGAGCTTATATCTTTAAAAATGTCTATAGTTAACAAGATACAAGGTCACTTCTTAATTATGTATCTAGAAAGAGCATTTTTCATATTCTTTTAATAATTTCAGAGAAGTAGTAGAAGCATACTTCCTGTCTTGCATAAAAGAAGCGGATGTTTTGAAGCACCGAGGAACAGTAGTGTCATCAATGCAAAAAAAGGACCACAACCAATTGTGGCTGGGGCTGCTCAACGACAAGTTCGACCAGTTCTGGGCCGTGAACCGTCGGCTGATGGAGACCTCTAGCGAGGATGGCTTCAAGTTTATCCCGTTCCGCTGCTACATCTCGGAAGAAAAGTACGTCCAGAAGCTCGTCAAGCCAGTGACTGAAGATGGCGCCCGGAAGACCCTCCGCCATCTTCTCGAGGAGTTGTTCTCGGAAGACGCCAAAGAAGAGAGGACTGTCCGCACTCACGGGATCTCCCCACCCTTGGACACTCCCCTCCAGTGGCTCTCCGAGCACATGAGCTACCCCGACAACTTCCTCCACCTCTCTCTCACCTAATTAATTTTTTAGTTGAAAAAATCAAAATAGAAGTACACTCGGATTAATAATTGTGATTTAACTTTAATGTTTTTATTTTTATACGCTTTTCCGTTCCGTCTATTTATTTAAGGTTATTATTTTTAAGAGACATATTGTTATTTTTTTTTTTTTCTTATTAAGAGTCCTTTTAAGTCACACTGATTATATGTATTTAATATGTAAATATTAATAATAAATTATCACTTTAATTAATTACAAGTTTAATCGCAAATTAATTACAATCTTAATATTAAAAAAATATAATTTTCTAAAAACTCAATTAATAATTACAGGTATTAGACTAATTATTTTTATGTCTTCGCCGGCATTTTTATAATCCTCAGAGTCTCAGCTTTAAGATACACTACAAGTTTTTTGGATTTGAATAATATTTAAAAATGTTTTCAGCGCCCCCAAGTGATAAAACCCGATTTTTTGAACATTTTTCGCGTTTTTTGTACTTAAAAAAATCATTTCCTCTTTTGTAATTAAAATTAAGAAACCAAAAAAATTTTATCTTAAAGATGACACTTTTAGGTACAACTTTCGCTCGAAAAACTTTCTTCTAAAATCAATTGTTGATTTGATAAAAATTGTCAAAGTTTGAAGCTAGAAATTTTTTGAATAAACTTTTAAAAACTTCATTCTTAGATTAAAATTAGACAATTAATTATTTTTATGTCTTCGCCGGCATTTTTAGAATCCTCAGAGTCTTAGCTTTAAGACCTACTACGAGTTTTTTGAAAAAAAAATTTTTTACGCAAAGTTTTCAGCGCCCCCAACTAAAAAAACTCGTTTTTTTTTTTTTATTAATCAAGTTTTTGGTATTTAAAAAATTCATAACTATTTTTTAAATCAAAATTAAGAAACCGAATGAAGTTTCTTGTCCAGAAATGCTCCTCAGAAGAATTCGAGCGAGATTCCACCATAATTTGTTGGAGTATCTACTAAATTATCATCCAAACAATAAACAAAAAAATTAAGCTCGTGTAGATAAGAAATTTTTTCCATAAAACTTATAAAAATGATAAAAAAAAAAAAAGTTTTAAATAAACATAAGTGATATTAACTTTATACTTCCGTCAATTTTATCAACGACAGACCAAAAAAGCTATCAAAAATTTATTTTAATCAGAGGTTAGTGACTGTAATTATTTTTATTTCGAAGCATTTAAATAGAGCCTCGGAAATATCCACTTAGTAATCTTCACAAACTTCCTACGGAAGACTCAGGTAAGATTTTATTCAACAAATGCCACGTCACATTTCTGTAATCGTACTAGCAGGGTTTGCATTGATTTTGGGCGTCAATGCAGCGCATTCACTGTGCATTGATAATGAGTGTCAATTATAGCCACAGCGAGGTTCATGAAATCTTTTATCTGCAGAGACTTTCGTTTTTTTCCGGGTGATAAAATAGAAATCAATTACCCACAAAGCAATGATTATTCTAAAAATTATAAAAATAATCATTTTTATGCAAACGTTTTTGACTTGTCTTCTGAAAAACGTGCGTCACAATAAATGACATTGATAGTGCAAGCGCACTAGTGCCTGGTACCTATTATTACAGCTTCCTACTTCTTTAGAAAATTTTTTGTATATAAACAATCGATTTTCAGCCTTGTTTATTCACTGTTTTGGGAAAAATTATCCAGGTAAGTTGATAAAAATTATTTACTATAAAAACATATATTTTTTTAACGAAAAAAAACCTTCTTGGAGTAATGAATTATTTTATTTTTAATTTAAGAAAGTTTATTGGTTGTAAGGGTAAGAAAAGTTTTCAATTTCAAGCAATAAATATTGAAAAAAGAAGATTTTTATTTTATTACGCTAAAACGCGGTAAATTCTTGAAAAAAAGGATTTTTTTACCTGGGGGCGTTGAAAAGTTTATTAAAAAACGTCGAAATAAAAAAAACTCACAGTACGTTTTAAAGCTAAAACTTTAAGGATCATAAAAATCCCGGCGAATATTAAATTCTGTAAATTATATTAATTAATTTTTTAAGTATTAAAATATCTCAGTGGCTAATTTTCGGAACTGAGTACTATAAAAATAAATATTGAACCTCTTAGTCTCCTTTTTGACGTGATATTTTTCTGATTCGTTAATTTTGATTAGAAAAAAAGTTGTGAATTTTTAAAGAACAAAAACATGGAATAATTCTAAAAAAAAAAGGATTTTTGGAGTTGGGGGCGTTGAAAACTTTGTCGAAAATAGTCGGAATAAAAAAAACTCAAGGTAGATCTTAAAGATAAAGGTCTGAAGATTCTAAAAATGCCGGCAAAGACATAAAAATTATTATTTGAATAATTTTAACGAAACAATGAAGTCTAAAATAGCTTTTTGCTAAAATTATGGGTTTTTAATTTTAGAAATTTTAATTAAATAAATTATAGGTCGAAGGGAAACATGTTTTTAACAAACGAATTAGCACGTTAAGGACAGAAGGATATAGTAACAACAGCTGTTGGTAATTTTATTACAGACTCAAATTTATTTCCACGATCTTAGCAATTACGACCCATTTTTCCGATTATTATATTGACGATTATTCGTCATCGTAGTCATCGTTCTTTTTAACGGGCTTCTTAAGACAAGAGTATTTACCATGTTGGTAATTATCTTTGACAATATCAGCAGTCTGATTCCTCCAGTCTATTATCTTGTACCAATTAATATCAAGTTCTTCATGAGTGTACCAATGAGAGTCCACGTTGTCTTCATTATGAGTTAGTCCAAGTCTGCAAAATTATCAAAATATAATTATATACATCAACTAAGCGTGATGATAAAGTAATGATACTTACAAATAGGCAAGCTCAATGGAAAATGCATAGACAGAATACCCAAACTTATTACTGACAATCGCTCCAGGCTTTGACTGACACACTGTTCCACTGGATAAAGACCACACTGTTCTAGGGTTCCAAAGTCCCTCAGTCAGGTACCCACTGAAAAATCGTAATATTATACCAAATGATCCACAAATCAACAATTTGACCTTCATGTTTGATTTAGCGATTAAAATACTCACGGGAATGAATAGATGAACGCATCGTAGTCCGAGTCTTCGAATTGCTCCGCGGTAACCTTAAACCAATCGCTGAACCTCTTCAGTTCCGATCGAGAAAAAGCATAATCCACCAAGGCTGGCCGCGTCCAACAGGATTGAGAGCACATGCCCTCATCGTTGCAAAAGGTACGGCTGCACTCTCTTCGATCGACACTCATCTTGAAAGTCGATGGTGGCGAGTAGCCATCTTGTTCCTGGAACAAAAGGCATTGATTAAAAACACGGTTGAATTTTCGAGTTTGAAGACACACTCACCGTAATCAAAACGACTCCAGCCAACTGCGCCTCAACGTGCGGGGTAGAATTTACATATTTGTAATCGCTGTTGATCCTTTCGATTATTTCTACTGCATGGTCCAGAGATTTTTGCTCGCCGTCCTTGCTGTAGTCCTTGTAGTCCACCACCACCAGCAATTTCGGATGGATCGCTTCTGCAAGTTATCAAAATCCGGATTTGCTTTAATTCAATGGGAGGGATTTTTATCGGGAGACTTACCATCGTAGGAGTACTTGGCTGCCTTATTGTCGAATTTCTGTAATAATTAATTTGGTTAATAAAGTAACAATTAATGATTAATTGTTGTCGATTTTAACTTACTTGTCTCACTGTTTCAACTTTAACATGTCCGTTTACAAGTTTGCACACGTAGACCGGAGTGTTGGGACCATGGATAAGAACTTGGTCCTCCTGTGGGGATTTAACAGAAAAATAGTTAATTTTTTATGTCTTCGGCGGTGGGATCTTCGAGCCAAGGCTCTCAGCTTCGAGACCCCGAGGTTGTTTTTGGTAAAACTTTAATATAAAAGTTAATTTTGAGCGCCTCTGTAGGAAGATTGTTGCCGGAAAATACTCACCGAAGACTTTGCAAGGTAGATATTCATCAGCAGAATGATCAATAACTTCATGTTGGAAATTTTGTAAAATAAGCTTAGAAAAAATAAGTCATTGTTGCTATAAGCGCCATCGAAGCACTAAAATTAATTGGCTTCAATAGTTATAATTAAAATCAATCAACGCCTTCTTTAGATACCAGCAGTGTCTAATTACTTTTTAATGGTAGAGTCTCTTCAATAACCCATTAGTTTTTTAATCAAACAGCAGCCAAAATATCTTGACCTTGAAAATAGAACAAAGGTTCAAGCGGCGTCTGATGAACTCCTCAAAAATTCGATGAAAAACATTTTTTTAGCACTTTATTGACTAGATAAGATTCAAAAGAATTATAGACAATAAAACACCTATTCCTCTACCCCCTCCTAGAATTTTCTAAAAAAAATTACACTTTTTAAACTATACAAATTTATTAATTTTATAAATCATCTTACAAAATTACAAAATAACCTAAACAAGACTAGCAGCGCCGATATTAACAACCATATCCGCACTACGTTCAAACCCAGTGACGTCATGACTTCCCCCACTTCTGGGCTGCTCCATCAACGCAGCGAGGTGTTCCCTGCTGGAGAACCTGGCCTGAAGGTCACAGTCCAATTGTCCTGCAACAATTCCTCCAATTACTCCTCTAATCCCTCCCCCTTCCTTTCCCGCCCTTTTTCCCCCACTACCTTACCTGACAAAGAAGGAGACGCCCCCTTGCTGGAGCCGTACATCCTGGTACTATACCCGGAGTCATTATGGGCATCATGCTGGCCCTGAAAGGGCGTGGGGCTATAAACAGCACTGCGGCTCCTGTAGGGCATGCGCGCAATGCTCTCATAGTTCCCCCTCCCCAATCCATTGGTAGCCGCACTTTTATCGGGCTCCTCCTCACTGCTCTCGCTCCTGTTCTTCCTCGGGACCTGCTGGAACCTCTTGATCATCTCATGGACACTTCTGCGGCTGAGGTCCTGATCATCTTCCTGATCAACCTCCTGGGGCCTGTTCCTCCCAATGACCCCATCAAAGGTCTCATTTAACCTCGGAGCGACTTCCAGGACCCTTAGGACAGTCTCATTGGGCAGCTCCTTCAAGCTCTTGCTTAATCTAGGAATCGCGGGGATGTCCAAATTGTCCAGGCTGCCCAGCCGCTGCCCGGAGGTTTCTCCAGGGATTTCAAAGCTGCGGTCATTCTGGCGGTCATCTAGCAGGTCCTCAACTGATTTAGCCCTGACAATTCCCTCTGGGCCTTTGGAAACTGGGCCAGGCCGCTCGGAGTGTCTTCCAGCGGCATTGCGGGTCAGCCACCTGGTATGGGCATGCTTTTCCTCGCACCTGTGCTTCTCCTGGACAAAATGCCTGGTCAGTTCAGAAATCTGACCCCTGGTCTTTTTCTCCAGGTGCGCGACCTTGAGGTCCAGCCGCTCGTGGGCCTGATCAATGTGGGCTTTAAGCTCGGCCTTGTCCCGCTTCATCTTGGCCTCCATGTGCCTGAAGAACGGCGCGCAGTAGCAGGTGTAGCCGACCCCCACTGGCCCTTTTCTGATGTTCCCTGCCAGGTCCAGGTAGTACTGCTCCCCGCGAGCCAGAGGGTCAGCTGGCAAGGAGTCCAGCTTGGGACTGGGAAAGGATTCAGGGTCTGGATAATAATGGCAGCCGTACGGCGACCACTTTCTCTGCGGCTCAAAGTGGACCTTGGCCTTGGCCTTGTCCTTGGCCTTGTCCTTGTCCTTGTCCTTGAGGCTGGACTTGGTCTTTTCTTGATCCTTGACCTGGTCCTTGGTCTTCCTTTTGGAACTGGGACTAGGAACCTTGGAGTCAACGTCATCCAGGGTCTTGGATCGGGACCTGGGCCTGTTCTTGGCCTTGTTGATGATCTCCAGGATCTCCGCCAGGTTCTTTCTCCTGGCGATGTCCTTGGCAGTTTCCCCCTGCTTGTTCCTCAAATGTCGGTCGCAGTTCGCCTCCAGCAGGATTCGCGTCAGCTTCCGGCGGCCCATTGCTGAAGCAATGTGCAGCGCTGTGTCGCCGTTCTTGTTCTGGTCAGATACCCGGCAGAGGGCTGAGATCAGGATCCGGGTCACCCCTGCGTGGCCGTAGCGCGCTGCTGTGTGTAAAGCGGTGTCTCCGCACTGCAAAGAGAGGAAGATTAGCTTCTTGATGATTTATAGCATTTTTTATGAGATTACTTACGTTGTTTTGAAGGTCTGGGTTGCAACCTGCGAGCAGAAGCTCGCGGCAGCTTTGGTTGTGCCCGTTTTGGCAGGCAAGGTGCAGGGGCGCGAACCCTGAGAAGTTGCGCGTGTGCAGGGGACCTCGAGATGTTCCCAAGGACTTTGATAGAGTGGAGACTGTTTGGCTGTAGCCACGCCAGCACGCTTCGTGCAATGCTGAGTTTCCGTGCTGGAACATTTTAAAGAGGTTGAATTAGGGGCGGTTCAATTTTGGGTTTATTTTGAGATTAAAAAATATATTAAGGGTGTTTTGGAAAGCTGAGAGTTCAAGGAAGAAGGATCTAGAGCTCAATATTCGGAAAAAAAATTTCTTAAGCTTCATTTCCGGTTTAAAAGTTAAAAAAAGGAATTTTTTGGTTTTTTAATTAGGGGCATTGATATTTTTGGTTAATATTGAGGTAAAAAAATATATTAGGGGCGTTTTGGAAAGCTTAGAGTTCAAGTAATAAGGTTCTGGAGTTAAATATACAGAAAAAAAATTTCTTAAGCTTCATTTCCGGTTTAGAAAATGAAAAATACGAAATTAGACGGGAAAATGGGATTATTAATGTTTCTGGAGTCTTGGAATGGAATTTAAGCGTGACTAATTTCTTAGATTTAATTTAACTAGTTTAGAATTTTTAGAATGCATTTATAGTGTAAATAAATTAATAAAATGAAGTAATTAAATAAATGATAACTTTAATGGTTTTATGTCTTTACTGGAGATTGCTAATAAAAGTTAAAATTTATTATTTTATTTAGAATTGCGCGGTTAAATGTGACTTTAACAACTTGGTTATATATACAGATATAAAACAACCGATCTAAATGATGTACATCACGCGATGTCTCCTCTTATTGCGATAATAAACGCTCAAGAAAATTGATATTTAATTTAAATAAATGAGCAAAAAATTTTTTACTTTCAAGGCCTTGACTGATCAAGGAAGTTTAATCATTCTTATGTATTTGCCGGTATTTCTAGAAGCTTAAGAGTTTTAAAATTAACTGGTAACTAAGGTAAAGGGCCCAGTTTCTGACACTCTAAATTTCTTGTGTTGTAGTTTCTGACACTGACGTCGGCCTAGATTCTGACACTCATTTACAAAAATTATTCATTATTGGTTAGGTTTACATTATTTAATTAAAATAAAATAAAATCATTCAATAAAAGATAAATTAAACTTTTGTATTATAATTAATACACTTTTTTTATGTTAAAAAAATTTTTTAATGTTAATTTAACTCTACGATTATAAATAAAAGCATATTATTATAATATATTAAGTATAATAAATATAAATATTTGAATATTTCATTGACAACGTCAACAACGAAATAACCTCGATAATAGGTGTCAAATTCGGGTATCATATCTGCGGCGTTCTTAAAAAAATCCACCTAGTTATTGACACCCACATTTTAATACATAAATGTCATTTAAAGTGATATATTATAATTAAAAACTAAATAATGTTTTAATAGATAGTTAACATAAATAGTTGATTGATTCGATAGACGAACGCTCTTACGTATACTGCTTAGAATATAGCTTAAAAATGGCGTCCACAGTCACTCAAGACTTGAAGAATTTTTTTTATTAAGTTATTTTTTTTTTTACGGTTGGAAATATAATTAATTACGTACATAATTAATTTATTTTAATTTAAAAAAAATTTATAAAACTATTTAATGAAATGTTTTTTTTTTTTAATTCAAAATAACGTTAGAAGTGTCAGTAATTGGGTCAGTGTCAATAACTGGGTCTTTTACTTTATTTAATAAAATTTTTTTAAATAGAAATAAAATTTCATTGCTATTAAATAAAATTGTTTCTCAGTGATAGGCTCTAAAGGTATTTTTTGAGTTTTGAGGACCCAAAAATATATATAAGACCCAACTTTTTATGTCTTCGGCACTGGGATTATCATCTAGGGACCCTAAACTAAGGATTCAAGTGCTTTTTTTTCAAATCTCCTAAGAATTTTTCTAAATTTCCTACGCCCCCGCTAAAAACTCCCAATTTCCCCAAAAATCAACTTTGACCTTAAATATCTTTTGAACGGTTGATTTTATCAAAAAATTATAAGATACCTTTTTTGTAGAACGGTAAATTTCCTCTCAAGATATATATTTAAAATATTTTTAAAAAATTTATTTGACGAGTTAGAGTAAAAAAAATCAAAATTTGTAGTTGATTTTTTATTTAAAGCTAAAAAAAAATAAACAAAAAATGAAAGATAACTCGCGAATTGCTCAACCGCAGACTAACTGCAGGTAAAGGCGTGGCCTCCTACTGCGTGCGGTTTCTTGTAGTGAGCATTTTTTGCACACAACACATCATTTAACCGCTTGGAGCCTTCGATGTTTTTTTTTTGCTGAAAAATCTTTAAGCTTGGAGGCGCTGAAAATTACCAAAAAAAATGGCGGAATTGGAAAAATTTATGGTGGATCTTAAAGCTAAGACTGTGAGGATTTCAAAAATACCGGCGAAGACATAAAAATAATGAATTGTCTATTTTTAATCGGCTGTTGAAAAAAAAAAATGTTTTTTAATGGCAGGAGTAAATTACACAGCAGGTAGATGTCATTATAATTAATCATTGTCTTGGTTCTAATCATTAATAATGTTTTACGAAAATGAAATTATTCAGAAATAATTATTGCCTTTAATGGTGGAATATAACCGATGCGGTGTTTGAGGTAATTGGAGATATATTCACTCGAGAATTAAACAAAAACTACTTAAGTATGCGAGTGAGCAACAACCGCCATTTTGATAAGGTGGTTTTACGTATATATAAACACTTACGTAAATGTACTATGCATGACTAAGAGTGGAGGATAAAGAAAAGGGGGATAGGTATATACGTTTGTCCATGGTTATCTGGTGATCCCACAGACGCAACTTGGAATAAATTTATAAATCTTATTATGGAAGTGGGAAGTTTTTGTCAGAAATTTATTTGTGATTTTTTGCATTAAGATGATTTAAGTGCAAGGTTTAAAAGTTTTAAGAAAAATTTCCTAGACTAAAGTTACTACAAAAATTTTTTATATTAAAAAGTTACTAGAAAAAATTTTAGATAAAAAATTACTTGGAAAATTTTTTCCAAAAGTCACTAGAATAAATTCCTAGACGAAAGTTACTAGAAAAATTCCCTAGATCAAAAAGTTACTAGAAATAATTCCTAGACAACAATAACTAAAAAAATTTTTGACACAAAAATTACTAGAAAAAATCACTATCAAAAATGCGAGACAAAAGTTACTAGAAAAATTCCCAAGATTTCAAGAGTCACTATAAAAAATCCCTAGATTAAAAAGTTACTAGAAAACCCCCTAAAACAAAAAGTTACTGCATGAAATCCTTATATTAAAAAGTTACCAAAAAAATCACTAAATTAAAAGTTACTAGAAAAAATTCGCACAACAAAAAGTTACTAGAAAATTCCCTAGATTAAATAGTTACTAAAAAAGTTACTAGAGAAAATTCCTAAGACAAAAAATTACTAGAAAATTCACTAGATTCAAAAGTTACTAGAAAAGTCACTAGATGAAAAATTACTAGAAAAAATCCCAAAATAGAAGTCACTAGAAAAAATCCCTAGATTAAAAATTTATTAAAAAAATCTCAAAATTGAAGTCACTAGAAAAAATCCCTAGATTAAAAAATTACTAGAAAAGTCACTAGATTAAAAAGTTACTAGAAAAGTTCGCCAGATTAAAAAGTTACTAGAATAATTCCCTAGATCAAAAAGTCACTAGAAAAATTTCTTTGACAAAAATTACTAGAAATCATTATTAGACAAAAGTTACTAAAAAAGTTCACTAGGTCAAAAAGATACTAGAAAAATTCCCTAGACAGAAGTCACTAGTAAAAATCCCAAGAAAAATTTTTTTTAAAATAAAAACTTCAATCCGAAAAGTTTTTTTAATATCTAAAATTGAGAAATATGTGGGAGTATTTTTCCACTCTCGAAACTTTTCGTCAACCACTGTACTCTTTGGGCCATAAAATCCCTTCCCCGGCATTCAAGGGGCTCATGACGTCACGGGGCCCCAAGAACAACGCTGAGTGTTAGCAAAGGCTAACACCTTCAAGAGTCAAGGGGCACGAGGCAGATTTTCCTCAGCCTCTGAGACACACACATCTACGGTCTAGGACACTGGTCCTATTTTCCTTTATGTTACTTATCGTATTATTGTAATCGCGAAGTACTATCTTGACATTATTATTTATACACGAACTATCTATTGTATCATTTACTGATAACTATATTCTACGGGATTGATTATTTATTGTGAGATTTAATTAACTTCATTCGAATATTGTAAAGAGTATAGTTATAACTTGAATAAATTATAAAACTAAAGAAATAGAGTACTACAAAAATAATAATAATAATAAGAATAACAAGCAACCTTGCAGTCACTAGGTGACTGCCCAGACTTGTGAACTGTAAATAAATAAAATTTTTCTTTATTAAGTAATGACTAAACAAATGATTAGCTTACTAACTTGGAAAAAAATTAGAATTTTCATTTTTACATGTCCGCATGGGTATTGTTATTAAAAGTTATCAAAAGGTAACTAGAGTAAGGTTTAAAATTTTCGATAAGTTCATTTTTAAACATTATTATGCATCAATCGAATCGTTTTCACATTCTCTACAAAAATTCTAGGCCAAACAGTTGATTAGATTAGAAACTTGGAAAAAATTTAGTCTTCATATTTACATGTCCGCGTGGCTATTGTTATCAAAAGTTAACTAGAGTAAGGGTTAAAATTTTCGAT